AGCTAATTTCTGTCTGAAAATTATGCGATTTTTAATTATCAATCTTCACAGTATATAATGATAGAGTTTCAAATTTGGATACAATGATCAAAAGGACTCAGGAATGGATTTTCAAGCCATATTTAATTGGGGTTTTCTGTCTTGGAATTAGGGTTTTGTTTGTGGAAAGGTTTCATTTATTCATGTGTTTTACTTTTAGATCTTAAGCATCGAGGAGTTTAAGGAATTTAGTCTGTTGTTTGGGATAAGTTTGCAAAATTTCTACTCATAAGTGTTTTTTAAGGTTGTAATTTTGTTGTTTTTGTTCCTTGTTCCAGTTGAGTTGCCGCCATGGTTCTCATCATTATCAATTTCATTGAACTCAGATGTAAATCTTGTAAGTACTCAACCAAGTTTGAAACTAGAACTACTTAAACTTTGATATCTGATGGTTCTCCTGTGACTTCAAGTGGCTTGTGTTGATTTTTTATGCTACATTTCCTCTGAAAATGTTATAGTCATTACAATTGCAATCTCTGTTAGTCTCTCGGTTTCCGTGGTTATTACCATGTGCATTGTTTTCAGGACATTACAAAGGCAAGAAAGATTCCGAAGCGTGCTTTGCCTATTATTTGCTTCAGAGAAGGCAGTCCTCCGTTGCCGGAAGCTTCGAACACTTCCATAATAGATTCAGGTTGTTTGAGTTAGCTACAGGCTTCATATAGTTGTTCTAGTTTGTCTGTGTGAGATCTCACATTGGTTAGGGAGGAGAACAAAACATTCCTTATAAGGGTGTGGAAACCTTTCCATAACATACGCGTTTTAAAAACCTTGAGGGAAAAATCGAAAGGGAAAGTCCAAAGAGGACAATATCTGCTAGCAGTGTGCTTGGACGGTTACAAATGGTATCAGAACCAAACACGGGGCGATGTGCTAACAAGGAGGCTGAGCTCCGAAGGGGGATGGGCACGAGGTGATGTGTCAGCAAGGATGTTGCACCCCAAAGGGATGAATTTGGGAGGTCCCACATCAATTGGAGAAGAGAACGAGTGCCAGTGAGGACGCTGGGCCCTGAAGGGGGGTGGATTGTGAAATCCTACGTAAGTTAGGGAGGAGAACAAAACATTCTTTATAAGAGTGTGAAAACCTCTCCCTAGTAGACGCGTTTTAAAAAACTATGAGGAGAAGCTTGAGAGGGAAAACCCAAAGAGGACAATATCTGCAGTGGTGGGCTTGAGCTATTATAAATGGTATTAGAGCCAGACACCGAGCGATGGGCGAACGAGGAGGCTAAGCCCTGAAGGAGATGGACACAAGGTGATGTGCCAACAAGAACGGTGGCCCCCGAAGGGGGTGGATTGTGAGAACCCGCATCGGTTGGGAAGGAGAACGAAACATTCTTTATAAGGGTGTGGAAACCTCTCCCTGCAAACGCGTTTTATAAATCTTGAGGAAAAACCCAAAGAGAACAATGTTGGAATGATACGTTTCACTTCTCTGATATCTAGACAGTGTTTTAAATGACTTTATTTAAGTGACGGTTAGAAGTTCTCTCCTGCAACAGGGTTAGCTCCTTTGACGAACATTTCAATTGAGGGAATCCAAGGCCATCAAAATCTGGAACAATGCTATCCCATGCAGCGATATATCGAAGTAAAGTTGACAAATGAGCAGGTACATCGAGAATCATTTTCTTTTTCGATTAAAGATTTAGAGTACTTCTTATGGAAACGAAAAGCTCGAGAGTATAATTCAAATACCATGTTATATCCTCATGTTTTGTTTTGGCTTCTTTTACAAGATCTTTCTTCTAATATCTATTTTGAAACTCCCTGATATGAGCCATTGCTCTTCTTAGTTCTTTTTTTATTGTTGGCGGGTGACATTGATATCGTTTATTTAGTTGTTCAGATATCTCCAGGAGTCTGGTATTTTGGTCTTTTCAATGGCGTCGGGTCTTCAAGAACACAATCGAAAATGGTACGTATATGTGCATATGCATGCTTGCCAATTGCAAAATGGTACATGTACTTATCTCCTTGCATTGCAGATAGTCCGAGGGCCTTCGTATTCTTTCAGTGCCAACGTTACAGTGGAAGGATGTTCATCCTCCACAATGTTCGGGCGATATTGCAATCAAACAGTCGATCCGCTCTCATGTTCTTTATCCGATGGTCGTAACATAGCTGAAAATGTTTTAGAAGCTATGTCCTATAACAGAACAGTCGAAAGTTTGCTTGTGTGCGGGAGTACATTTAAAACATTTTGTCTTCGAGACGGTGAACTGAAAACGTACCACTTGGATATGGAGGGTGTGGCAGAAGAGCTGACCATTTCAGCAACAAATGTGAGTCTCAACTTAGCAAAGTCAGATAGCTCTAGTAATGTCAGTGGTGTTAGTTTGATGGGTTTCGCTCGTCTTGGTGCAATTCCTTCAGTTGTCCTGCATGATTATTCGAGTAACTTAACAACTGGCCCTTTGGTTATCCGTTCTCCAAAAGTCGGCCGATGGTATATCTCCATAGCTCCTCTTGATCTTTTGAAAGAACTTCGAACCGCCAACGATGTGAGTGTTTGTTATTCCATGGAATCATATGTGCTGCAGTGTCCCTATGGAAAGACTGGACCTAATTGTACATGGAACAGATACGTCCTCCAGGTAAGATACGTTCTGCAATGCCCCTTAGGTTTGATCTAAGCTCGATCTTGTACCTGTCCAAATAAACGGCAATAGTATGAATACACAAGCTGTAGAATATGGGTTCTAAATGCATTTGCGTTTCTGCAGGCAATCGTTGGAAGAGGTTCATCTCCTTTCGAATCATATTTTATGCCGATCAAAGAACAGTACTTCGAAGGGCCGAACTTTTCTGTCGAACCCCTTCTAAGCAACACGTCAAATCATGGACAAGAGAAGTATGCTTGGACGTATTTTACTTTAGACGTTCCTCGTGGCTCGGCTGGAGCAAATATTCACTTTCAATTATCAGCTACTGAGACAATGGAGTATGAAGTCTATGCTAGATTTGGTGGATTACCGTCTCTTGATAACTGGGATTACTGCTATAAAAACCAAACCAGCAACAGTGGTGGCTCAACATTCCTTTCCCTCTACAATTCAAGTGCTGTAAAGATAGATTTCTATATTTTATATGCCAGTGAAGGAACTTGGGTTTTCGGATTAAGGCATCCAGTCAACAGAAGTTTGTCCGAAGATCGGACTATTATGTCGGTCACGCTTGAGCGATGCCCGAACAAATGCTCGTCCCATGGAAGATGTGAATATGCTTTTGATGCTAGTGGAGCCACAACGTTTAGGTGTGCTTTATTGACCCTTGCATTGCATACTTTCGTGCTTTGATATTTTAACTCTCCGATTCACTAGCTCGGTAAACTGAGTATCGTTATTGTTTTCTTCCAGCTTTTGTTCCTGTGACAGAAATCATGGAGGGTTTGATTGCAGCGTTGAGATAGTAGACCATAAAGGTAAAAATTACTTTAAGCTTCCAAGACGTGTTTTAAAACCTTGAGGGTAGCCCCGGAAGGGAAAGCCCAAAGAGGACAATATCAGCTAGCAGTGAGTTTGGGCTGTTACAAATGGTATCAGAGCCAGACACCAGGCGGTGTGCTAGTAAGAACGCTGGCCCCAAGAGGGGTGGATTGTGAGATCCCACATCGGTTGTAGAGGGGAACGAAGTATTATAAGGGTGTGAAAACCTCTCCCTAGCGCACAAGTTTTAAAATTTTGGGGGGGAAGTTGGAAGGAAAAGCGGACAATATCTGTTAGCGGTGGACTTGGACTGTTATACAAATTCTCAGGTCTCATACTCTGTTTCATTATCTCGAAATTCATGTAGGGCATGTGCAACAATCAATTGCTCTCATCGCGTCGAATGCTGCTGCCATCTTTCCTGCCTTTTGGGCTCTTCGACAAAAGGCAAATCTGATGACAATTTTCTTGTTCCTCGAATTCCAGAAAGTAATTCTTTTTCCAACCCATAAAGATTGTTCTTGCAGGCTCTAGCAGAGTGGGTGCTGTTTACCTCAAGTGGGATTTCAAGTGCTTTATATCATGCTTGTGATGTAGGAACTTGGTGTCCATTGTCATTCAATGTATTACAGGTACAAGTTTTTCCTTATTGCTTATCAGTCTTTGCCTATTAAGCATATCATAACATTTTACACCACGAGTTCGCCCTGCATTTTTCACAAAAGACCTCGAAACCAATCTAATGAATTGGTAAAACTGTCTCCCCGTCGTATTTAGACTGATGACCTGATAACTTTCAGTTTATGGACTTCTGGATGTCTTTCATGGCTGTCGTTAGCACTTTCGTGTACCTAGCCACAATCGAAGAAGTTTATAAAAGGGCGATACATACCGTTGTTGCAATCCTAACTGCTCTCATGGCTATAACCAAGGCGACACGGTAACTAAAATGCCACATATAGCCTTTTAGATGAAAAGAGTAATCCGTTATGGTGACCGAATTTTGAACATCTGCAGGACTTCCAATATTGCTATTGTGCTAGCAATTGGTACACTGGGTCTTCTTGTTGGATGGCTGATTGAGTTATCGACGAAGTATAGGTCGTTCTCCCTACCTATGCGAATTTCTTTGAATGTGCTTCACAGGTGAGAATCTTCTCATAAATGTTTTCAAAATCCAAGTTAAGTCTTAGAAAACTAAAAGAATAATTGTGGCATTATTTTCAACTATGTTCTTAAAGCACGTAAATCGGCCTTTAGAAGCGATTTGAAATATGAAAAGGTGGCCTCTGAAAATCAGGGTGCCACCCTTTTGGTCTTCAGAAACTTATTCATTTAGGTGCAGATGGGAATCTATCAAAGCATGGGGGCACAAGCTTTTGAAGACTCTATACAGAAGATATCGATGGGGATTTATGATTGCAGGTTTCACAGCATTGGCTATGGCTGCCATAAGCTGGAATTTGGAAACTTCTGAAACCTACTGGATTTGGCATAGGTACCACAAAACAGCCCTTCTCTATCTTTCCCTCTCTCTTTGTCTCTCTAAGTTTCGATTCTTCGATTGTTGACAGCGTTTGGCACTTGACTATCTACATGTCGTCATTCCTCTTCCTCTGTTCAAAAGAAGCAAGAGTTTTAGACCGTGACAATTCGATTGTTCCGAATGGTGAAAACGAAAGAGGTTCTAACATAAATTATGAATTGGCTAGGCAGAATTCGTTGCCTAGAAGTGTATAGAAAGAAAGAGGCAATTTTGCGAGTTTCAGCCGATTTGAGACTTACCAAACAAACATAGCTTATCAATTATTTACTGTAAATTATTGTCCACAGGTTTGGGTTTTCTTCTGTGATATTCTTTCTTCTTTTGGGAGGACATGAATTGTGAATATGCATAACTTAGATTAGATAGAATGATCACTTGTTTTGGGTTCAGTGAGAAGTACATTGGAACCAAAAATAACAGGCTTGAGTTCATGCCTAGTATATCTATTATGATCCTTATTAAACAAATTTTATACCAGAGCTTTGGTCACCAAATTTGGATAACTGATGTCTATCCTGTTTGAGGTAGCTCCTGTTGGGGGAAAAACCAATAAACTCGAAATGATCGGTTGGGTCGTTTGGTTTGCTTCGATTAGATTTTAGTTCGTTTCAGTCAGTAAGGTTGGCTCAGCTTTTGAAATTTTGGTTTTAGTGTTGGTTTCTTTCACTGAAATATTGGTTTTGTGACTAACTAAAACGTACCGGTTTACATCCTTGTAGCGAGTTGAAGTATTGCCATGGCCTGAGTATTTTTTGTATGCTTCTCATTCCTCATCTCTGCATCTGTTGTTGAGCCTACAATCGTGAAGCTTTAGTTAAAGGGATATTTTAAAGTCAAGATCAACAAAATAACTTCAACATGAATGGATATTTGAACTATAGCTTACCACCATATTCAGCTGGTCTAACAACATGGACTCCTGCTTCCTTTGCTCACTCAAGCATGAACTGCAGCCATTTTAGAAGACTGAATCATTCACAATAACAAGAAAGGAGTTTGGTTCGTTGTTGTTTTTTTATGGCGGTGATTCCAACTATAAAATGTTAGGTATCACAACTTTCCACTATGGTATGATATTGTCCATTTTGAACCTAAGCTCTTATGATTTTACTTTTAATTTCCCTAAAAAGCCTCGTACCAATGGAGAGGTATTCCTTGCTTATAAACTCATGATCAATCCCTTAATCAGCCAATGTGGGACTCTCCCAATATTTCTCAACAATCCTCCCCTCGAACAAAGTACATCGTAGAGCCTCCCCGAGGCCTATTGAGTCCTCGAACAAAGTACATCGTAGAGCCTCCCCGAGGCCTATTGAGTCCTCGAACAACCTCTCTTTAATCAAGGCTCGACTCTTTTGGAACCCTTGAACAAAGTACACCATTCGTTCGACACCTAAGTCAAGGGTATGACTCTAATACAATGTTAGGAATCACGACTCTCTACAATGGTATGATACTGTCCACTTTGAGCATAAGTTCTCATAACTTTACTTTTGGTTTCCCCAAAATCCTCATTTCAATGGAGATGTATTCCTTATAAACTCATGATCAACCCCTTAATTAGCCGATGTGGAACTCCTCTCCTAACAATTCTCAACATGAAATATTTTGTTTCAATACTTAAAAGATTGTATACAAAATCCATTTAGACTTACAGATGAGATGAACAGGTATTGACGTCAAGGGCCGACCCTCAAAATGGATTATGGTTCATGTCCATCCAAGATTTGGCATTCATTCGGGCTCAATATCTATGTTGGACGCTATGGACTTGTAATCTTTCTTCATCGTGTTGAGTAATAATCCTAACATTGCATAGAGATCTGAAGACTGTGGATGGGATCTATCACTTGATACAAACAAATGGTTATAACCAGCAATCTCTATCCAACTAAAGCCTGGGACTTTTGGTTCACAACTATCCTTCATCAGTTTGCGCATTCTCGCCACATCTGACCATCTTCCTTCAGAAGCATATATATTCGACATTAGAGAACAATTCACTGGTTTATATGGATCTGATGCAAACTCCATTGCCCATTTTGCTAATCTCAAATGCCCATGAGTTCTACATGCTCGAATAAACGACCTGAAAGCATCTGGTCCCGCTTTCTCCGACACTGATTTCAAAAGCTTAAAAGCCTCGTCTAGACTACCCGCTCGACCGAGAAGGTCGATCAAGCAAGTTAAATGCTCTGAATCAGGAACAATTTGGTACTCATTAGTCATTAAGTTGAAGTAGTGAAGCCCCATGTTTGCATATCCCCCATGACTACAGGCAGAAAGAACACCAAGAAATGCAATTTTGTCTGGTCTAATGCCCTGAGATAACATCTTATCAAATAACTCAACAGCATCTTTCTCAACCCCACAAAATGCAAGTCCACATATAATTGATGTCCGGGAAACCAAATCTGGTTCTGCAATTAATCTAAAGCATCGTAAAGCTGAGGAAATGGCACCACACTTCGAATACGCATTTATCAAACCATTATTAACAGACAAAAATGCTTCAAAACCAAGTTTTATCAAGCAAGAATGAACCTGGATCAGCTCAGAAGCCCCAGAAGTAAAGCCACATGAACTTAGCACACTAGCAAAAGTTAATTCATCAGGGTAATAATCTTCCTCAAGCATTCTCCTCAAAAGTTTCACCGCCTCTTTCCCATGTTCTTGCTGCCCATACCCAACAATCATAGTGGTCCAAGACACAGAATTTCGAATTGGCATTTCATCAAACACTTTGCGAGCATCATATAAATGATTGTTTTTGGCATACATATTGACAAGTGAACTTGCTACTAGAATATCTAAATCAAATGAGTGTTTTATAAGATGAACATGGAGCTGCATACCCAATTCCCCTGATCCTTTATACTTGCACGAACTTAGCAGGCTGCTGAATGTAAAATCGTCACCTGTAAAGCCTTCCAACTGCATCAAGAAAAAGATTTCAATCGCTTCTTCGGCCAAACAATTAAACACATAACAGTACAACATCACATTCCACAAAACCAGATCCTTATACAGAACGCTGCTAAAAGCCAATCTCGCATCTTCATATAACCCACATTTCGCATAAAAATCAACCACTGCACTCCCCACAAAACAATCCAAATCAAACCCAAATTTGATCACAAAACCATGCAATTGCTTGCCACTTCCAACATCATTCATCACATCACAAGAACGAAACAATCCATTAAACGTGACACCATCTGGGTCTACCATCTCCATCAACATATTCTTAAAACAAGAGAGATTCGAACGCTCCCTCATCTTAAACTCACCTCCATACCCGCAATCAACAACCCCACAAATCACCGTGTTCCACGACACAACATTTCTCCTACGCATTTCATCAAACAAGTTCCATGCACGACCCAGATCCCTGCATTTAACATAAATCTTCAATAGTTTATTCTGTACAGACAGTTCATTAGCCAATCCCAACTTTATGACGAGGCTATGCAATTGGGTACCTCGAGGAATGGAATTCACATCAGCAGCGGCTTTCAGGACGTTGAAAGAAAAGGAATGGACCAGACGAGAACACCCAAAGTGGGTCGATGGCCAAATCAACATCAATGAAAATGATCTGAGACGGCCAAATCAGCCGATGTTAACGGTGGCGTAGAAACGGCAGCCGGAGGAAGAATGGCGGTTCGAAATGGACGGTGACATCAACCGAAGAACATTGCTGGGCCTGCAGAATTTTTTATTTTTTTTTGTTAATCGTTAATGTACGGTGCGGATTAATGGCAAAAAATAAGTTTTAAATTAATTACTACAAATATTGTGGGGCCCAAACAAATATTTTTTGGGTTAAATTATACCAAATATTACTAAAATTTGAAAAACTTTAATTTAATATTTTTTAAAATTTGAAATTATGCTAAAATATATTTTAAGAGTTTTTTTTTTTAATTAAAAAAACAAAGATAAATAGATAGCTTATTTTAAAAATTATTTCAACTATATAAAATATTAAAATTGTTGTTACCACTTATTCAACGTTATTAAATAATGCGTACGGATAGTATTAATGAAGTTGATAATAACCCGACAAAAAAATTGACTGTTCAAAGGTTGAAAAATGTGTTTAACCCTTTTAGTAAAAACATGAAAATAAACGTAACCCTAAAATGGGTGGAATATAGTTGTTTTTAAATTGATTTGTGTAATAACGAGCAATTTTTGGCCTAGTAAGTTCTTATGTGCTAAGTTAGGTATGAACGAGCAAGTTGTATATTTTAGTTTTAAGATGAAAATGAAGACGAGATTAAAGTAGGGTTTAAACCGAAGTTTGTTTGCTTGTTTTTAGGGATAGAATGGTACCTCTAGATTGTACCAAACAACCTTCTCTCTCAATGGTCGTCCTAAATCATAGAGAACAAATATAAAGCAATCACCCACAAAAAAGAAAACGAAGAGAAAAGAAAACATTACGACAACGACAACGTTTGACATTTCAAGAAGAAACGAAGACACGAAGAGAAAAGAAAAGAAAACCGAACCCCACGAGTAAACATAGGGACCAAACAAGAAAATGAAGCTTCAAAAGAAGCAATGGCGAGCGGCATGGCAAGATTCGATGGCATCGATGCCATGGACAGCGTCGTGCTCCACCATGCGCCGACGGTGCTGATTGAATCGAGTGAGGATTATCGACTGGTGGGGTCATACGACGATGCAAGATATGTTTGTTGGATTGAGTCGAGAAAGCTTTGGAGAATTGCTGGCCCTATTGCCTTTAATATTTTGTGTAATTATGGAATGAACTCATTCACCAGCATCTTTGTTGGCCATATTGGCGATTTGGAGCTCTCTGCCACTGCCATTTCCTTGAACGTCATTTCTAATTTCTCATTCGGGTTCTTGGTTAGTACCTCTTTTCTTGTTTTTGAGCACGAGAACGAAATTTTTTTATTCATATTTGAACTAGGTAAGAATTTCTAGGATAGGAATGAAATCGTTACAAATTTTAAACTACTGAGACCACGGAGTTGGACTATTGACAATTGTTTCTTTTTTTCCCGTATAGCTCGGGATGGGGAGCGCCCTCGAGACGCTATGTGGGCAGGCATACGGCGCGGGTCAATTGAACATGTTAGGAGTCTACATGCAACGTTCATGGATAATTCTTTTAGGCACATGCGTCATTCTACTTCCACTCTACATTTACGCTACTCCAATCCTCGAGCTCCTCGGCCAAGAGCCTAAAATCGCGAACATGGCGGGGAAATTCTCGATCCAAATAATCCCACAAATGTTCTCTTTGGCCATCAACTTTCCGACGCAGAAATTTCTACAAGCTCAGAGTCGAGTTGGGATATTGGCGTGGATTGGGTTCGGGGCGCTGTTAGCCCACGTCGGACTTTTGGTTTTGTTCATCAAAGTGTTCGATTGGGGTATCGCCGGAGCTGCGGTGGCGTACGACGTGTCGGCATGGGGAATCTCCATTGCTCAGGTGGTTTATATTCTTGGGTGGTGTAGTGAATGCTGGAAGGGCTTCTCATGGCTGGCTTTCAGGGACTTATGGGACTTTATGAAGCTTTCACTTGCTTCGGCGATTATGCTTTGCTTGGAGATTTGGTATTTTATGACCATTATTGTCCTTACTGGCCACCTTGATGATCCCATTATTGCTGTTGGTTCGCTCTCAATTTGGTAATTTACACCCTTTTACACCCTCTTAGACCGGTAAAATTACTATTTTGGTCCTTAAACTTTAAAATATTAACAGTAGAGATATTCATTTAACTCCTGAAGTCAGGGCTTTCTAAAGACCTACACAAACGTAGTAGGTAATTTCTGAAGAGTAATTTCTCCATAATTAGCTAAACAGGGTCAGAGACGGAAAATTCCAATACTTGTGTATTCCCTATAGACAGCCCACCTCAATCCTTATAAAAATAAATAAAAATTTTGCAGAGATAAAAATTGAAATAGTAAACAGGAATGGAAACATAAAAGACATTTTTGTCCCTGTCCCCGCCCGTCCCGCTCATGAAATACTTATATTTTTCAATATTGATGAACATGTCCTTATAAATGAGAATGAGAGATAAAAATTGAAATAGGAGGCAGAAAAGACATTTTCGTCCCCGTCCCCGCTTGCGAAATTGAACAGGTTCTTATAATCTTATTTCAGCATGAATCTAAATGGATGGGAAGGCATGTTGTTTATAGGGATCAATGCAGCCGTAAGGTTAGAACATCAAAAACCCTACAAAAAAATTCTCCTTTCCCGAGTTCTTCCTTCATATTCTTTTTCTCTCTTTTGTTTAGTGTTCGTGTATCGAACGAGCTCGGATTAGGGCATCCGAGGGCAGCAAAGTACTCTGTCATCGTGACTGTCGTCGAGTCGCTCTGCATCGGGCTTTGTTTCGCAGCGCTTATCTTGGCAACGAAAGACTATTTCGCAATCATATTTACAGATAGCAAGGAGATGCAAGAGGCAGTTTCTAACTTGGCCTTCCTTTTATGTATAACAATGGTGCTCAACAGTGTTCAACCAGTGATATCAGGTAAGAACATTGAATTTGGAGCAAAAATGGCAAGAAAAATTTGTTCTAAATTAGGGTTTTGATTATGTTTTTGCAGGCGTAGCTGTTGGAGGAGGTTGGCAAGCTTTAGTGGCTTACATTAACTTGTTTTGTTATTACGTTGTTGGCCTTCCTTTTGGCTTTCTTCTTGGCTACAAAACAAGTTTAGGCGTCGAGGTAAGCATTTCGATCCATGTTAGAACGGTTCAATTCATCAGATAGTCTTTTATAACTTAAGATTCACAAGACGACTCGATATTTGATGCTCGAGCTTGCATAACCTAATTATTTACGAATGTAAACCTAGGTCGATAAAATTTATATATGAATTCAAACGTAGGCCGTTATACGAATTTTTGCTGCTTCCTGATAACGAGTGTTTTAAACTCGTGTACAGAACCTCCTTTTGAATCTACTAATGCATAACCTAATTATCTACGACTTTGTTTATCTCGTGGACTATAAGTTCGTGTTATAATGTAAACCTAGGTCGATAAAATTTATTTGTTATACGAATTTTTGCTGCTTTTTGATCTCGAGTGTTATAAACTCGTGAACAAAACCTCTTTTTGATTTAACATTGCAGGGCATATGGATTGGTATGATATGTGGGACATTCTTGCAGACAATAATTCTTCTGTTTATTGTTTATAAGACCAATTGGAACAAGGAGGTGAGTTTGTCTACCTATTTTTTTCAAATTATGTTCTTTTTGTAGCATTAAAAAAAATTATATCTAAATAAAATATTATAAAATTTTCTGAACTTTCAATTTTATGTCTAATAGATCTCTAAATTTAATATATATATAAAATTTAACTTTTTTTTAACGAAAATTACGAATTTATTATAGATAAATTTAAAAAATACTATTTAGCATAAGAATAAAATTTTAATTTTAATGATAAAAATATATTAATTGACAGGTGGAGGAGACAACAGAAAGAATGAGGAGGTGGATGGGGAAGGACGCAGTGCCCTCTAATCCCACATAAAGATTGAAAGGGCCATTTAATTTCAATGTTTTTTTTTTTTTTTTTTTTTTTTTTTTTTTTTTTTTTTTTTT